GGTGGGCTTTAAATGCCATCACAAGTGTCCTCATGAGAGAGGGAGAAAAAGATTAGGCAAACATACATGTGCACACATGTGTGCACACAGAGACACACAGAGAAAGTGTTATGAAGGTGGAGGCAGAGATTGGTGAACCCAGGAACGCCTGCCTGCAGCCTTCAGAAGCTGTGAGAGGCCGGAAGCAGATTCTCTCCTGGCATCTCTGGATGGAAGAATATCATGCTAACACCTTACTTTTGAACTCCCAGCCTCCAGAACTGTGAGAGGATAAATCTCTATTATCTCAAGCCACCAAGTTTATGGTAGCTTTTTATGGCAGCCATGGAAAATTAACACAGGGTCTGTGAACATGGATGGAAAACTTATGTATTTATTTTAACTTATCTCTAATTGAAACTTAGCATTTCCTTCAATCATGAATGTGAGCAACAAAATGTAGTTTTAGTGGGGTCTGTGATTTTTGTCACCAATTGAAATCACAGATCCTTGCGTAATGTAGACACATTGATACTTTGAAATTGCAGTGGTTATTAAGCCTATCACTGGACCTAGTCCTTACAAAGTGTTAATAAAGTTATGCATTAATGTTAAACTACAAAAGTAGTTTATTAATACTAGACTAACAAAAGGCCCATAGGCTTCATAAAAAGTCAAGACTATATGGGATAGATAATGGGCCCTGAATAGTGAAAGAACGAAAGAAAGAATGAATGAATGAATAAATAAACACATGAATAATTCTAGGACAATGTGATCGTTTTAAAGAGGGAAATTAAGGTCCAGAGACCTCAAATTGTCTGTGGTTTCAGTAGCAGAGAAAAGACTGAAGTCAGATCCTCTAGGGACCACTTTTGCTTGTATTGTAGACTTCAAGATCAGTTTGGGTCCTGTTTCCTCTAGAAAACCTTGTGGAGAAACTTCACTCTCTACAGTTCAGTCCCCTGCCTTGCTTTACCTGTTACCCCTTTTACACATCTTGTCACTTGATTCCACTGAAGACAATTCTTTTGACATTCCATTTTGTGGTGTTCCCATCTGAGCTCAATGCTTGGTATATATGAAAAACAAGTGTTGAGAAGTGAAATGCAAATGTCACTGCAACCTCTGTCTCCTGGCTTCAAGTGATTCTCCCGTTTCAGCTTCCTGAGTAGCTGGCATTATAGGTACGTGCCACCACGCCTGGCTAATTTTTGTATTTTTAGCAGAGAGGGGGTTTTAGCATGTTGGTCTTGAACTTCTAACCTCGTGATCAGCCTGCCTTGGTCTCCCAAGGTGCTGGGTTCAATTTTTAATACATGTGAGTATCACCTGCTGAACAAAAGGAAGGACACTTGCCTTTTTTTTTTTTTGCATTTTTACAATTTATAAATGTGCCACAGGCACATAGTAGGTGTTTAAGAAAGATCTATTGAATAGAATTGAATTTCCTGGTAGCCGAACAACTAGGCAGATGGGTGGAGAGATATAAATTAGTAAAGCAGATTTAAACCATGTGTTGATCATTGAAAAGTTGTTTAATTTTCAGCCAAGATAAATGCTTTTTTAATGTGTAAAGAAATCTATAATTTTCTATGCTTTGAATTAAAGCTCCTACTTCCCAGGTTTCCTGCCTGCTTCTGGCTGCTCTTAATGAGCTAATTTACCCCACCGAGGTGAGAGATTTCCTCTTGGGAAAGGGTTTAGATGTGCCTCTCTCACATCCAGGGCCCCAGAGCGTTTCCTTACAGGGCTTTAAACACTCTGCCCGTATTTAAGAGAGAAGCCAAGAAACAAATCTGTTGTTTTAGCTTTATTCCTCGAGGCTCAGCGGCTCAGCTTTCCTTCCCCTTTGATCGCTCTCACTGGAGTGGCAGGCCTGGAAGCTGCGGAGAAGGGGTGGGTCCTTTTAGGAAGCCCAGTTCAGGGGACCCACCCAGCTCCACACAATGAAAATAAAGTTGTCAAGCCTTTGAGGTGGCTGTGAAGATTTATTCTTCCTGGGCAAATTGGTGAGACATTTATATTTTTAAAAAATGCTTTGATGAACTTGATAAGGAAGCCCTGGTTTGAATGTGGAAAAACATTTGAGAGCTTTTTCCACTGCCACACTGGGTTTTTAGCTTCATTGCAAAGCTTGACCTGTGGAAATGGACTTGCCCTTCAGATTAATGACAAAGACTGTAAGGGGTTCATTTGGGGATTGCAGGACACAGGCTTACCCTGTCTTAGAATATAAGCATCCATGAGGCAGGAAGGCTTAAAAACCTTTTGCAGGTCTTGACATCTTCTCTGCACATTTCTTAGTCCTCAGTTGCCAGCCAAAATCTCCCGATTGCTCTGTTATAGCTCAGTGACTTACATCACCAAGTATGGTTCCATTACTTCTACCAGCTGAAGCAATGAAATATGCAATATTTTATTATGCATATAATTGAAACAGTTTCTGTTCTAAGTTCAAATGTTGTTTGTGTCACATATCCTTCTGAGCATGACTTGGTCACAGTCAGGTCTCGAGGGACCTAGGAAAGGAAATGGAAGCTGGTGTGAAATATCCTTCTCTTACATTCCAGAAAGTCATTTTAGCCAGGAACATCTGCCAACAGCTCTGAGATGTCCTCTTAACATCCCTGTGTTATGCAGATCATTATGAATTGCTCTTAAAAGGATGCGTGTCAGGCAAAAAAAAAAAAGACATAGACACATTTATCAGCGCTTACTGGTGGAAATTCTACAATCATTGGGAAATTTTCTTGAAAAAATCAGAAAACTGTCCTTGAATTCTGTTATCAGGGCCGCTCTGTCTTGGGTTGCAACTGGCACTGTGCTCTGTGGAGAGGCTATGGGCTTGTGGCAGAAGGAACCAGGTTTAGATTCCTTTGTGGGAACTTATTTTCTGTGTCACCTAGGGTATATTCTTAATTCTTCTAGTTCAGTTAGCTCAACTGTAGTATCAGAGTGATTGCACTTTGCTAGTTGGAGCCTTTCAGGTTGTAACGATCAAAGGCAGGCTCAGGTTACCCTGGGAGATCAGGGATTACTAAAAGGAACACTTGCACTTAAGGAAATGTGGCAAGTGATCACTTCACAGGATACGACAGTGCCCTCCTAAGAAGCATGGCCACCATATTCATGGCAGAGTTTCTTCCTGTCTCATCCTCCCTCTGTATGTGTGTCTCTACTCTGGCAACGTGGCTTTTTCCTTCTTTTTTCCACTCTTTCCCTGTCTCTGTCTTCCATTTAAACCTCACCAACAGAGAGAACCCCACTGAGTCAGGAGGTGACCACCCATTAGGGAGGGACTCTCCACTGGAAGAGTACTCATTCCAGGCTTCCTCAGAGCTGGCTCAGCCCATGGGTAGTTGCATTTGGTTCAGGATCCAATCCCTGTAACCATCTGCAAAGGCAAGGCCAATAGGGTCATATGACATTAAACACAGCTACATTGCTCAGTAGGGGACTGTCCTTGGTAAGCTCCACCTGCCGCTTCAGATCATTCTCCACTCTTCTCTGCCCTGCTATGTATTCTGGAGGCTGAGCTCCATAAACTGCATTGCCTATGCTGCCTTGTTCCCATTAGGTGTAGCCAGTGGGAAGCACTGGGAGGTGATCAGATGATGAAGGAGAGAGAAGTTGGGGTATTTCGTCTTCATCTGTCCCTTACCATGTGGCCATTTTGGCAGGGTCCACAGCTTCTGTTCATCAGTGCCCCCACCTTGGCTACAACTCTCTCTGGCATTTTAGTAGCTGCTCTTTTCTCCAGATCTACAGGTGGTAATGGCTTCCCACTTCTGCTGGACGCTGGGTGCTTCACCATCCCTAGTTGGTTCCCTTAACTCTGACTATAGTTTTGTAAATAATCCTTTCCTGCAACTCTCGTTAGTGAACCCTATGAGTGAAACAGGTATTACATGATGGAACCTGGACTGACTGATGCAGGGATTTTAGGTATGGTGCATCCAAACATATCATGCATGGGCTATCCAGGACACTCAACTTCAGGGGTAGTTGTAAGAATTGAGTTTATGCTCTTAAGGGGCTGTCGTATCAGGGGACTCAACAACTAGCAGCTGCTGTTGTCATTACTTTTGTCATGTCTCTGTGGAAGAAGCTAATCAAAATTATGGGTTTCAGAGACATAAAGTCTTCACATATGTCCTATCTAGTTTCTTCAGTGACTTGAAAGTAGTCACTTGCAAATTAATGGGAATGATGTTTGTACACTCATCAATGGCTCAATTCCGGGATGAATCGATGTTTAATTCTCTGGAGCAAATTCAGAGAGATGAGGATGTGACAAAATTTTGTGAGATATCATTTTAGGGCACGATATGGAGATATCATTATTACATGATTGAAACAATGTGATAGAGTGGATCCCAGCTGAGGTCAGAGGAGTCAGGAGAGGTAGCTCAGAACATGAAAAAGTAAAGAAAGGGGCAGCTATCATTGGATTGCTGCTGCTGTCTCACTGTAATAAAAATTTGGGCAACCAGGAATCTGTGACAGAATATCAGGAAAGATATCACACTTACAGCTAATCAGAAAAAAAAAATAAAAACCCCAATGTGTTAGACATGGAAGGTTTTAAGACATAGCCCAGTTCAAGTGTCTTTTTCTACAGGTGAGCAAACTGAGGCCTCAAGGGCTCCATGCCTAGGGCAGGGATGACAAATATGTGGTGCATGTGTGACCACCAGTTCTCCCATGCCCAGGATAGACACAACCAACAGACCATGACAGTTGTTCCCACCAAGCCCAAATAAGACCTAAGACGCTTCCATTCAGTGCCCTTGGCAGGCACCAGCAATCCAACTCATCATAGACACTGAAACTCATGTGTCATCCGTGGACTAGAAAACAGTCTCTCACACCAGACCTGAAATTCAGTGATTAGAACTCTTGTTAGTGACAGAGCAGAACAGTCATGATTTTGCCTTTTAAATCTTGAATTTTCAAGTTTTATCTGCATGTGGATTAGCTGGAATATAATTTGTAAATAACATGTATGATTTATACAGATGCTGCAGCTGCAGGCATGAGAGGAAGGCAGCTTGGACGTCTCTGTTCAACATTGGTCATCCAGTCTGAAAGTTTCCCAGGTACAATTGATCTTTTCCTCTTTCTGCTACTTTCCTTTGAACTATTTATCCACTAATTAAACTACCTCAATAGACCCATTAGAGGAAACTCGAATCAATCTATTCTTCTCGACGTTTGGCTAAAATGTTTAGTTGACACCACATTTCTAGACCATTTGCTATTGTGCTGAACCTCTATTGACTCTAATGGGATAGGCAGCATGTTCAAGAGGTTGAAGAAGAGATGCAAAGCCCACTAATGAGACGTGGGGTTTTACTGGGGGCTACATACAGGGGAGAGAGTCCAGTGGTGGTGAGCTGGACAGGAGAACTGCCTTGCATATGGTCCAGTGGCAGTGAGCTGGACAAGATACCTGCATGGCCCAGAGGTGGCAGACTAGGTGGGAAAACCACAACAGCTTGCAAAAAGCATGCAGTTTATATAGCATTTCCACTGAGCACCTTCCCTCTAACAACCTCCACCTGGCAATCATCATTCAGTCTAAAACTTGGGGCCTTGATCTTCTATATGGCCGGTGTTCTATGGAACCAGACAGGGACTCAGATGTTCCTCATAGACAAGGAAGGCACTCTAGGCTGGCCACTCCTGGATTCCCTAGCTCAGAATACACATTCAGTTCCATCTGCCATACAGGGTCATCCTAAGGGTATGCCTAAGTTATTACTATCAGATGCATTTATAATACATTTTATTCCAGTTTTAGTCATCTATTGTCATTTATCCACCATTCTGGTGAAGGACAGCAATGGCTCTAACAAACAACTGTGCCTATTTACTCATGATGCACACCATTCAGCAATTTGAAAGGGCCATGAAGGAGCCTCAGCAAATCTAAATCTAATCTAATCTTTTATTCTTCCTTTTGCTCTCAGTGACCTATGTGTTGAACCATGTGAACGTGCTGATATTCAACTCTTTTTAAACTACAAAAATGTCAATTTCACACATTTCAGTGTAAAACTTATCACTTATACCTTTACACTTTTGTGCAGAAATCTCTGAAAATATATATTCACAAAGAATAGATTTTAGTAGTTAATAAGATTGTTTTTTAACCTGAGAGCAACTATGAACTATGCAGTAATGACCAAAGTCACCTGCTGTCATTAGGTCAGTGTCAGGTCAAGAGACGGGAACCCAGGGCCAGGCCTCGTGGCACGTGCCTGTAGTCCCAGCTACTCCCGAGACTGATGAGGGCAGATTGCTTATTATCAGGAGTTTCAGACTAGCCTGGGCAACAAAACAAGTTCCCTTCCCCCAACCCCTACCAAAAAAGAGTGAAGGAAATCCTACCAAGCTTGGCAATCCATTTTATGCTGCTCAGAGACAATAAGACCCAGACAGGGCAGATGCACTGAATGACTCCAGGTGGGGCCTTTCACAATCCAGTCATTGTGTGTGATGGTCATGGAACCAGGAGTTTATTTTCTTCCTCCCTATAAGCTACCACATGGGTCCCAAAGACTAAAATGTTTAACTTAAGTGCATGTTGGCCAGAGTCTCTCTACGAAGCCTCTGATAGTAATGAGAAAAGTCAGACAGGTACATGGAAAGTTCAGGAGTCTTAAACTGTCTGCCTGTTGGTCCCATAAGTTGGTCAAAGTGTTTTGTTTGGAGTTTTGTTTCACTCAAGTCTCTAAAATCTTTCTATTTCACTCATTTTCATTATATGCATGGATCCCATGAAAGTGATTGCCATTTTGGTTTTTAATTTAGACCTTCAGAGATAACAATGGTATACAGAGTAAGTAGGAACTTGGGCTCTGTCCTCTGGAGGTAGATGAACAAGGTTCTCAATCCAGCTTTGCTACTTCTAAGGCTGTGAGTATAAGTAATTTTGTCTTTCTGAGCCTGTTTTCCCCACTGTGCAATGGTTATAGTAACTGAACATACTTCATAAGTGATTTGCTAATGTACGTGATGTGCTTTGTAAGAGGTACCAGTACTTAAAAACGTTAGTAGCAGCTGTCACTCATGCAATACTTCTCCAACACAGTTTCCAAAGTGGGGTGAACATTGTGCCCTGCCAAGACAGCTTGCTGCATCAATCCCAGCTTCTGCCAACAGCTTGAACCTGTCACTTTCTGAAAGTTACCTCTGGGCACTTGGAGCTGCTTCCCTTGCACTGAGAGCTGTAAGTGCCTGGGAGTGTACATTTCCAACCAACTACCCCCAGACCATCTGTAGCCAAGGACTGACCAGGGTAGGACTATGAAAGCCTTTCTCCTTTGCTTTGATTCAGGACAAACTCTGAGGTATAATTTATGCTCTAGAGATTTATGCAGAATTAGGCAGGGGCTGGAAATTTGCAGGGAATATCAACCCTGGCTTGACTTCTTCCCCTTTGCGATCCAGCATTCCCCACCTGGAGCTTTCTGGTAGCACTTTCTTGATCTGTGAATACTGGCCTCAGTCTGCCTCCTAGGAACCTGACCAACTATAAAAGGACTGTGTTTCATCCACATAAAACATCAGGTAGGAATCCCATTTTACAGACGTGGAATACAGAGGCTCAGGAGGCCATCTGACTTGCAGAAGTTCACACTTGCTAGTAGGTAACACACAACACCTGACTCTAGCTGCTCTATCCTGGGAGGCACACCTGTCTCCAGATCATTTATCTCCATTCCCCACTGTTAATTTTAAGACTAAGCAAAAGCCTAGAGCGTCTGATCTTCTAAGGCATTTGGTATTGAGAAAAGAAAAGAAAACTTAAGGCTAAGGAACAGGGGCAACAATCTTATCATAAAGGCTGGATCCTGTTGCTTTTGAAACTGCATTGCAGTGGGATATTCCCTGATATCAGCAAGAATAGGCTAGGACCTGAGGGTTATTGTATTGCTACATGCAGGGTATACGCAGCCTGCTTGATGCTGGCATCAGCTTGCTTCATGCTCAAACCGCTTATTAAAGTCTAGACGCAACATAAAAGCACGTAAATTGGTTCCAGCCATCTCTAGTAAAAGCTTCAGCTGGAGCTGGGAAGTGATTGGAGCATCTCTTGGTGTAATTAAAATTGACTCTTAAAGTTTCTTTAGCTTAATTGGTAACACTTTCTTTGGAAGTTGGTGAAAGCGTCTTGCTGGGAAGGTTAAATGCATTTCTGTGTATAAGATCAGAATTCAAATATAGTTTTATGGACACATTTACAGTTATGTTCTACCCGGGTGGTCTTTTTTCCCTGTATCTTTTCTATTTAAGATTTATGCTGTCATTCACCACAGTCTAAATGTGTTTTGATAAAAAGAAAAAAACGAACCGTTGCTGATGCATTTCAAACAGAGTTGGTAATATTTTGAAGCTTTCAGTAAATTGAACTGCAGTTTGGCTTAACCCAAGCTCCTTCTTTCCCCCAAACCCTTCACTTAGAATCTAGCTCTTGAGCTTTGTTTGGTATCCAGAAATTAAAGAAGCTACTACTATTTAGCTGGGTCCAAAGGTAGGAAGCCAGGCATTATCTAGGATGGCCGAGCCTTTGCTGTGGCCGAATGCCTTTGACCCCCCATTATTTAATAATGAATGTGTTTATGTGCGTGGATATGTTTATATGTGCTGGGACTTCTCTCCTTTGGCTTTGCTTCTTGAGGATCTTTTCAGTGTAATAGATTCTGATAGGCAAAAGGCCTAGGCTTTCCATTTTTGGAGCGTGATCATGGTTGAAGTTTCCAAATCTCTGGACTGTCCTTAATTCAGACTTGGGAGAGGACCTGCTTTAATTTACGTCTGTGAACATTGAGTCGTCATGATTTCCAGGGCAATGACTTGATGCTTACTGCAGGAATCTATTTTGATTCATCCCTGTGGAGCAGAGGAACTACCTCTCTTGAAATCAATTCAGTATTATCTCTTTGTGTGTATGCGGTGTTGCAAAACAATGTTATGAAGACCATAAAGGAAATACAAATCACTCTGATTCTAGGATCCAAATGCAACAACTGCTTATATTTCTGTGTTATTTTCTAATACTGTCTACAGGCTCATATAGTTTTAGATTTTGCTATATAGGTGTAATTTTTAACCAATAATCTTTTACAAAAATAATGAGTTATTCCCATTAAGTATGTACTTGATACTACAGAACATTAAAAAATCAAGCAAAGCGTAGTACCAATTGCTCAAACACAATGCTTGTTAAGATTTTAGTATTTATTTCTTCAAACTTTTATACATGCCTTACCTTTTCTCTTCTATATGCAATATGAACAAGAATTTTATTTATATTGCATATATAATTATGATTTCTGTCTTTTTATTTCACATGATTTTAATAATATATTATTATAAATTTTTGATAAATATAATTTAAATAGTTGCATAATAATATGTTACATTAACAGGCTGTAATTTGCATTAGCATTCTTTTACTAGAAGATAATATTCCATATTTTTTGCTATTGTAATGCTGCAAGTGGGCAAGATAATTATAAATTCAGATTTGTTTGTTTTCTGCATCCAGAATTATTTCCTTCCTAAAGATACCAAAAGATGAAATTATACCATCAAAAGGAATGAAAGGAATGAAGGCTCTTGATAATATTGCCAAATGCGTTTCCAAACATTCTGTCAATTGGCAGTTTTATTAGCAACACACAGAGCTACCATTATTGGTTATGGCCAATGATGGTAGGTTTGTTTAAATCATTTTGATTGAAAACAGCATCTTGTTCAGTTTGCATATCTCTGGTGACAACAAGGTTGTTCTGTTTCCTTTGTGTAATCTAATTCCATATCCTTTTAAACGAATCATCTGTTCTCATCCTTTGCTGACCTAGCTTTTGAATCTTTATACTTTAAAAACTATTGATGTGTGAATATATAATATACACGTTAATTATATTTTGATCTTTTTTATATTTTCTACAATTTGGAAGAGCAGTGTTTTGTTTGCTTGGTAAGTTAGACAATGTGAGTGTAAATACCATTTCTGCTTACTTTGTGGTGGCTGGGCCTTCTGCGAGAGCAGTGGTGCTGTCATTGAGATGAATGTTATCTCTGTTTCCAGGGAGACAGACTTGCACCGCAGCTCTGATACAAGTGATGCCTTTCACATATT